GCTCCTCACCGGTACGCCTCTGTGTTCCGTGTTACGCGCGTGTAGCGGGCGTGCGTCTTGTGTGTGAGGTCAGCGTGTGCGTGTGCAGTTGGGCCAGGGCTGATGATGAATGCCACGATGGCGGTAATGGTTGATGGTGGTGGTGAACAACAGCAGTGGACCAGGAGGTGGAGGCGCTGTGGGCGACGGCCGTGGTGGCGGCCTTCCTGCAGAAGAGGTTCCCCGGTCAGAAGACTAACTGGGACCTGGTGGTGAAGAAGGCTCTCAAGTTCATCGCGCGTCAGAAGAAGAACGTCAAGCTCGCCTCTGAAAGCGAGGAGATCGACTGGGTGCAGCTCGCCACCGCCTTCCTCCCCTGATCGCCGCACCACTTCACCAGGCATGTCTGTGTCCATTTCAACAAAAATGTAAAGCATGTACACGTCAGCAATTAAAAAAATAAAAATAAAAAAGCACAAACAATGTCACAGCTTCAGTTCAGAAAATAGAAAAGAGGAGGGCATGTTGCGGACGAAGAGGCCGAGCGCGGGGGAGCCACTGGAGGCGGTGGTGGTGGCTGTGGGCGAGGGCAACGTGCGTGGCGGCCTGGCCGGCTTCGAGGAGCCCACCTTCGCCCAACCCACCGGCCAGCTGCTCGCCGCCCTGGGCTCCACCACCTCACCAGGCCACCACGCTGCACCTGCACCTGCTGGCCTTGACCAGCCCTGGAGCCGGTCGTGGCAGGACTGGGACGACGCCGTCGTGGCCACGGCCGTCGGCGCCATCAAAACCCAGCGAAGCGGCGGCGGAGGCGGCGGAGGTTGGGAGGTGACGAGGGAGGCGGTGGAGGACGGGCTGTCGCTGACAGATCGCGCGGTGCTGGTGGCACGGTCGGGCCGCATCACCCGCCACACGGCCGAGCGCACCTGCCAACTGCTCTTCGAGAGGTTCGTGTGTGTGTGTGCGGTGATGTGCGTGTGCGTGTGCGTGTCCATTGCGGTGCTGACGTCAGCGATGGATAGGTGCGGTGTGGATGCGCTGTACGAGGCGCGGTGCTCGGTCTTGAGCGTTTACGCGAACGGGCGCACGACCGGCCTCGTCGTGGACTGCGGCCACGCCTCGTCTTCCGTCCACTTCGTGTGGGATGGCTTCCAAATACGTACGTGGCCGTGTGTGCGGTGGGCGCGGCGAGCCTGTCACTGATCTGTTGCACGGAGAACAGCGACGATGTACTCGGAGGCGGGTCGGCAGGTCGAGACAGTGACGCCGGTGGGCGGCGCGGCACTCACGCGGCACCTGGTGCGGCTTCTCAACCAGAAGCACCCCGAGCTCAACCTCACCGAAGCCGACGCCAACCTCATCAAAGAACACACAGGCACACACACATCCATGCCGTGTGTGTCATGTGTGGTGTGTGTGTGGCGGTTGATTGACATGGTGGGCCGACAGGGCGGGTGAGTATGCACTACGCGCGGGAGGTGGGCCAGTACGAGCAGCGGCTCAGCCAGACGCGTCTGCTGACGTCGCTGCACGAGCGCGAGGGCGAGAGCTATCTGTCCCTGCTGCCCGCCGAGATCGTCGCCTGCGTCAACCAGCACGCCCTGCCCCCGGTACCCACCGACCGACCTGCCTGCCTGGCCAGCCCCTCCAATGTGACTCTTGTTTGATAGTTGCTGCCGTGTCGTCCGCTCGCTTGCTCGCTCACTGGCTCACGACAGACTGCGCCGACGCAAGTCAAGTACGCGCTGCCGGATGGGCGCACGCTGGTGGTGGACGAGGAGCAGATCCAGTGCGCTGAGCCCCTGTTTAGGCCCTCGCTGCTGCTGGCTCGACCCCCTCGAGGCCCATGACTGCGACACGCGGGCGCCGCCGCGGACCACGACAGAACGAAAAGCGGAGCAAAAAGAAGAGCAAGAAGAGCAAGAGCAGGAGGAGAAGGGCGGGCTGGGCGCCCTGGCCAAGGCGGCGCGCGACAGTGGGCCGATGAAGATGCGCAACGAGATGAGCGCAAACGTGATCCTCACCGGCGGCACCTCCATGTTCCCAGGTCCGTTGTGTGTCGTTGGTCGTGTTGATGGTGGTCGGTACTGACTTCAAGGTCGGGGGCGACGGGATAGGAATGGCGGAGAGGCTGGAACGAGCGTTGACCGCCAATCATGGAGGCGGGCCACCGCACGCGGTCAAAGTGGTGCAGCAGCCACGCAGAGGCGACCTGGCCTGGGTGGGCGGCTCCATCCTGGCCTCGCTCTCCACCTTCCAGTCCATGTGGGTCTCCCGCGACCATTACCTCGAGCAAGGTGGGTCACCCTCCCCTCCACACACTCCTTCCACCTCACCTCAACGCGTCGTGTTGTGGGTGTGCTGCCGCATGTGTTAGGGTCGAGTGTGGTTCTCTCAAAGTGCTACTGAAGAACTGTGTGCCGGGGCAACTTTTGCATTTTTGGCGACTAAGCGTGGCTTTGGGCCAGACAAGCAATAATGTGAGTACATTCCAAGAAGTTGTGTCAGGACGATCGGCTCTACCAGGGTCGAGGCCTTCCTCTTCTTCGGAGGCTGGCCTTGCTCTTCCTTTTCATTGTTGCCGCCACTGTCCTCATGACTGCTCGGTAAAAGTGGTTTCCGAGATGACATGCGTGTCCGAGGCTACGCCTAGGCCCTTGCGAGCGAAGAGTTGGTCGCCCAGATGGAGCCAATACCTGACGACTTTGGTTTCGGGAGAGCAGATGTAGGGTTGCTGGAGGTGGTTTGCAATTTCGTCGAGGAGTGTAGGGTGTGCGTCTGTTCTGCTTTGTCTGGCTGGTCGGGTCGGCGGACTACTTAGCTGAGTGCCCCTGTATGCCAGTCCATATAACAAGGGGAATGCTGTAATGCTGCGACGCTTTCCTGAAGACAAATCGTCTTACCCTGCGAAAAGGCCTTTCCTGTTTTGGGCATGCTCCAAAGCCGACAAAATAAGCATTGCTGATTATTTCAGGAATTCCAGGTTTGGGCCTGGCATTTTAAATAAAACAGTATCTAAGGAGTCCAACAGGTTGTTTTACCCGGTGTAGTGGATGTTGGTGGCGATGGCGAGGTAGCTCGGGCCGTAGGCGATGTGCGGCTCGACGAAGTGGACGCCCTTGATGGTGGGGATGTTGACGCCGTGCGAGAGGTAGTAGTTGAAGAACGGCACGATGGCATCGGTGCAGAGCGTCTTGATGATGTGGTCCACCTCCGACACGGTGATGGTGCCCACATGCGAGAACTGCACAACCCAACCATACCGACGACGTCACATTCCATCGAATATAGTTAAAAAATTAGCTGTGATTGGCTTGTGCGTACCGCAACGGTGATGGGCGACTGGAGGTAGCTCAGCTCGGTGAAGATTCGGCCATCCCTCACCGTCACCTTAAAGAAGAAACGCACGTTCACGAATGAACGACACGAACGCACCACCGCACACGCACACGCAGGTGGTGTACCTTGGCGCTGGTGGTGAGATCGATGTTGAGCGCGAATACGGGCACGGGGGCGCCGCCGTGCGGGAGGACGGAGACGACCACCTGGCCGGGGCCGGCCACGCGAATGCCGTCGTGGCTGAAGGTGGCCTTGGGCGGCGACGTCGTGTGGAGCTCGGCCTGCATCTCCAGGTTCGGGTACTTCTTCGTCAAATCGGGCAGGATGTCTTTGCAGGCGCAGCAGTCAAGGAAACATACTCACAACATCGAGCCGCACACGCACCGCCGCACACGCACACGCACGCACACGCACACGCACACGCACACGCACACGCACACAGCGAAAAGGATACGGGACCAGCTGTTGGTGTTGAGACGAATGGGCGCCCACTTGGGGAGGTCCTTGTCCTGGAGGATGTGGGTCATCTTGCCGGACTCCCTGAAGACGAACGAGGCCGAGTCGGGCACGAAGTCGCTCAGCATGATCTGCATCATCTCGCCGTTGATCTCGTCCGGCATCGGCTGCGCGGCGAACGGCGCCTCCTGCTTGTGGGGCAGGTAGTAGAACTCGCCCTTGGCGTTGATGGTCAGGTAGTTGTGGCCGAACGTCGGTCCGCCCACCAGGGAGTAGTCCACCTCGGCGATGTTGCTGAAGCGCTCGGCCAAGGGAATCGTTTGCAGGGCCTCGTTGCCGCCCTGTTGTGGTACCACACCAAAGAGAGCCGTGTGAGTTGGTGATGGTGGTGATGATGATGATCAACAGCCGAATGAGATGCGGTGCGCATACATGGTTCAGCAGGTTCTCGATGGACGAGCCGACAGCCTTCTCGGCGGCCTTCTGGATCATCTTGTGGAGCACCTTGAGGAAGAAGTTGTACAGCCAGCTGCGCATTGTATTGGAGTTGAGAAGGGACATAGGAGATAAAGTGCACGAATAGGAGCTAAAAATCAAGCCGCACGTACCTGGGACCGCCGTGCTCCTTGATGCTCAGGTCGCCGATGCTGCAGTGCGAAGAAATGACCGACATGGTGGGCCTGGCATTCTGCTCGCCCACGTGAATGTCGACGGCAATCTACATATTGATTGGAAAATGAACACCAGCATTAATGCACAATTGCGGGTAAAACAAACAACAAAGTTTGTTTTCAACCACGTACGTTAATACCACTGGCGTGGATGACCAGGTGGCCGTGGCCCTTGATGTGCGGCCTGGACAGACAAACGTAGAACCAGAGATAAAAAGGAGATTATCATTTTCAAGGCTAGCACTGGTACCACAACATGATGTAACACCGTACCAATGGTGCTCCCTGTAGTGGAAGTTCATCTTGATCTCAAGAGCTGCTTGGTCGCTGCAGACCACCAACACAAGCAAATATCAAAATGTCAACAACCAACACACTCCGAGCAAAATTCTTTGAAGTCTGGCAGAGACGCACATCGACACGGCCACACCGCGGCCGGGCAGGATGTTGATGGACGAGCGGGGCAGGCGAAGGCCCGACATGACGATGTCCTTGAGCTCCCACTTGATCTTGCCCACCACCGGCGCGTGCGCGTCGCCGCTTTCATCGGGCACATGCACCGTGGCGAACCGCTTCTCCAGGTACTCCACCGCCACCTCGCGCGCGTAGTTCAACCCTACGAGGTGTGGTGTGGCGAAGTGGTGTCGGGTGGTCGGATGTTAGTCGATCAATCGGAGAATTCTGGTTGGTCTGCCTCATGCCCTAAAAACCTGACACGGTGGACATGAAGGGGAAGCTGAAGAAGATGAAGAAGGGTGGTGTTGAGGTTTGGGTGGGGCGACAGTGGTTCGGGTGGGGTGGGGGTGTGGGTGGCGGACGCACCGCTTTCGGTGAGGGTGACCTTGAAGCCGGGGTGAGCGGCGGAAGCAAGGGCCAGGAGCGCGAACAGCAACCCCAGAGCGAGCGACAACGACAGCTTCATCTCCCAAGAACGAAGCAATGACGGTTCTTCTTGTAAGCGCTTTGTTGCAATAAGCAACTCCGCTCTTCTGGGGTCCTTGCCCATTGGCCACACAACGGTAGAAAGTGGCGACAACTTTTCGGCTGTAAAACGGCTGCGAGAGGGGTCAGTGGGTGGCGAGTTCGTCCTCGCGGTCCTGCTCGTCCTCCATGATCTGCTTGAGCGTGCGCACGAGGGCCTGGTGGGCGCTGAACGCGGTGGGGCCGATGTAGTGCTCGACCAGCACGTAGGGCGCCGTCACCCACATCGTGTCCGTGAGCTGTACCGCTGCTTCATTCGGATCATCACTCTGAAGACGATTCCGTCAATTAGTCGTCGTATCGCGCACGCGTCGTGCGTGTGTGGGTCGTGTCGTGTGTCGTGTGTCGTGTGGCGTGTGGCGTGTGGCGTGTGTGTGGCGTCGCCGTGTGTCGTGTCGTGTGTCGTGAGAGGGCTGACCTGGAGGGTGAATCTGTGCTTGGCGGAGAAGAGGTACTGTGCGAGACCGTAGGCCTTGACCTCGGAGTCGATGTGGTGGTAGCCCTTGCCCACCTGGAACGAGCGCGTCACCTGCACCGTGTTCTGTGTTCGCCGGCCACAACGAACGCGTCAGGTCGCACGAACACGACAGCACGAGAGGGCGAACGCACATTGACAATGCGGCCGAACACGGGGAGTGCCTCGGTGACGTCGTAGACCAGCACGTCTCCCTCCTCCTGCAGCACCTTCGTCTCAACCCTACACAACCCACGAGAGAGTAAATAAATAAATTGATAAATCCAAATATTTGTATTTATTATTTATTATTTGCTGATTATTTGTAGATTGCATTCACATGTGAATGCAGTGGAGAGGGTGTACACGAGGGGTTGCAGGCGAGGCGATTGGGTGTGGTCGAGGAGGAACGCGACGACCTTGGCACGCGGGGCCTTGATGAGGACGCTGTGCTCATACGGCACCGTCGTGAATCGCAGCAAGGGGTACAGTGCCAGCGCCAGCACCAACACCACCGACACCACCGCCCATTTCGCCATCTAATGCGTATTTCTATTTCTTATTTTTCTTGGGCATTTATTTTTGATTTATTTTCAACGGTCGAATCACAATTAATTTAGGCGCTCTGCAACCGACGAACGAAGAGCACGACCGAACAAAGCCGTGGTGACCGACACCGGGCGACAAGAGAGACGTTGGCCGGTATCTCATCACCGCTCAACGACACGGTGAGCGAACAGAGACTGGCCAAACGAAGAAAAGATGATGGAGCAGGTTGCCAGCCCAGCAGAGGCGACGCCCAACCAACCTTCGCCCTCCTCGGCAGCGACGCCAAAATCCTCGCTGGCTCGAGGGGGAGGTGGCCATAAATCTTCATCGTTGAGACAGCGCGCGGCGTCGTCCTACGCGCCTTCGACTTCGCCCGTTCTTCCCTCCCTCTTCCCGCCTTCGTCTCCCTCCACATCTCCCTCTTCCTCTTCTACACGATTGATTCCATCATCGACTACAAAGGCCTCTTTGGGCGGAGCCACCAGCAAACGCAAACCGCTGCCGCCCATCCCGCCCTACACGCCATCAATTGATGGCGATTCAGCTCCCAACTCACCTCCGTCTACGTCTTCTTCAACCAACATCTCGTCATCTTTATCGACTACGGCGGCCCTGCCCCAACTCTCCACTTTGTCCTCGTCGTCTACGGCCTCACCTGGAGGCGCGGCTGTTGCACGGCCGCCCATCCCACCGCGGCCCTCCGTCAAGCCCAAGGCGCTCACCCTGCGAGGCACCGTCACGTATGTTGTCGGCCGCACCGCACACACCACCGCACACGCACGCACGCCGCTTGCGCATGCCCTGATCAGATGGTCGTGGCGCTCTTCGACATTGCAGAAAGAGTGGCTCTCCCCAGTCGCCGCCGACAGCGTCTGTGCCACCGCGACTGGTGGGCACGCTACGCCCTTCGTCGTCCTACGCCGCACCTAGTCCCGTACCTTTCCCAACCACACCGCACCGCTGCACACGCACACGCACACGCACACGCACACGCACACGCACACGCACACGCACACGCACACGCACACGCACATCAACCCGCACCACCGCACATGCGCACGAGTCGACGCAGCTGATGGTTGCTTGGCGTTACAGGGAGTAGCCGGCAACCCGCTGCATCTGCCGAAGCGAAGGCCGACGTCGGCCTACACCTGCGCCCTCCCGACCGAGGCTCCGAATCCGAGCGGCCCGGCTGCTGCGCCGGCTTTTCCGTCATCTCCTCTGGCCTCGGCCACGTCAGCGTCTCCCTCCCTAGCGGCCCCGTCGTCAGCTTCGGCCGGTGCGGATTCGCCACCATCGCCGTCTTCACCGAACGCCGGCGAGAAGCCGACGTGGGTTCGCTTCTACTCGGCTCGCGCGCTCGAGTCAGCGCAGTCGCCGCTGCGCTCGACCGCCACGCGGCCTCGAAAGAACGAAAGCGACGCCACGACTCAGAAGCAGGAGAACGAAGGCGATGGCGAGAGCGAAAGTGAGAGTGGAGGGCTCGGGAGCAAGCGCTCGATGGTGCTTGAGCTCGCCAAGCAGTTCTCGGTCTCACCCGCCGAGTCCAAGGGAAACAAGAAGAGGGGAGAGGAGCCCATCATCGCGTTGGTCCCCGCCGCCGATGCGGCCGGCAGCCCGGCGGGTCTCTCCTCGTCGCGCTCGCGCACTGAGGAGCTCAAGAACAAGCTGGTCACCATCTCCATGCGCAACATGAAGGCGGCCACGTCCTCCTCCGCGACCGCTTCGCTCTCGTCGACGACCTCGCGCGCCAAGATGGAGGAGCTCAAGAAGAAGTTCGACCCCAGCCTCGCGGCCGCCAAGAAGACCACCAGCAACGACGCGCCACCGGCCAAGACGTCGGCGTCATCATCAACCTCATCATCAGCAAGTGCCGGCAAAGCGCTTCCACCCGCTCCGTCATCGGCATCGACGACAGCGTCGTCTCAGCCTCCGCTCGGCTCGTCGGTCTCGTCTCCGGTCCAGCGCGCGGCGGCCGAGGTCGCGAAGGACCACAGTGGCGGCGGAGCCGTAGACAAGCCCAGCGAAGGTGGGGGCGAAGCCAAGTCGAAGACGAAGCCGAAGCCCATTCCGAAGAAAGAAAAGGAGAAGAGCGAAGAAAAGGAGAAGAAGAAGAAGGAGAAGAAGGAGAAAGTGCTGGCGACGCCGCAGAGCGAGGTGGTGACGGGACCGAAGAAGGTAGCGAAGGAGAGGTCGACCGGCGCGGACGGCGAAGAGGGCGCCAACAAGGTCAGCTCGTCGGCTTCGCTCACCCGCGTCGAAGACCAGCTCACGAAGCCCACGAAGAAGGCGAAGAAAACGAAGAAGGACAAAACGAAGAAGAACGAAAAGAAAGAGAAGAAGGAGAAGGAGACCAAGGGCTACAGCGCCATGGCGCTCTTCTCGCCGCGCCTACGGAGGGAGCGGAAGGAACAGCAGCAGGACAGCGGCGGCGAGCAGGCAGGTGCGGAGAAGCACCAGAGCAAGGAGGAGAAGAAGAAGAAAAAGAAGGAGGAGAAGAAGGAGAAGAAGGAAAAGAAGAAGGAAAAGAAGGAGAAGCGGCGGGAGAAGAAGGAGGCCAAGGCCCAGCTCCAGGGCGGACGAAGCCGGGCCGGCTCGCTGGTCATGCCCGACACGACCAGCGCCGACCCGGCGGGTGCCACAGCAGAGGGAACGCCGAGGGGAGCCGCAGCAGGTGGCACGACCGGTGGTCGTGGAGGCGGCGGCGGGATGGCGGCGGGGCTGAGGAGGAGAGCCTTCTCTCTCTGGACCGAGAAACCGCTGATCAGCCTCGACGACGATGACGACAATTTGAGGTATGGGAACGGTCACGCGTGGGACGAGGGCGACCAGGCCTCGAGGGAGACGCCAAAAGCGAAGACGAAGAAGGGCGACAAGAAGAAAAAGAAGAAGACGAAGAAGAAGCCCGCCGTAAAGAGCGAAAGCGACGGCGGAAAGAACGAGGAAAGCGAAGAGGACCAGGAGCAGAAAAAGAAGGAGGGGAAGAAGAAGAAGGTCAAGCAGAGCAAGAAGGCAGCGGGCGGAGGTGAGGGTCTTTCTGCCGGCGGAGGCGGAGGCGATGGCGACATGGTTGGGCTGCCCCGAGGCCTCAAGGCCGGCGCTCCGCTCGACGCGGAGATGACCAAGGCCGAAAAGGAGATCAACGACCAACACCAAAGCCAAGCCCCCGGCGCCCAGGCCCCAGACGAGACCGGCAGGGACAAGCGGAGCATTGCTAAAGCCCTTCTCGGCAGGTACCCATTCCTCTTAGCAAGCGTGTGCAGTGGCCCGTGTGCGCGTGCGGTGCTGCGTGTGCGTGTCGTGCGTTCTCGTATTGAAGTGTGTGTGTGTGTGTGTGTGGCCAGCGGCGGGTCAATGAGGAAACAGGCCGCGGCTGCAGCGAAGCGGGAGCCTCTGCCGGAAAAGCAGTACCCCATCGTCCCGATCCTGGCGACCCAGGACGTGGAAGCCTCCATGATGACTGCCTTCGGCCCTCTCCGTAGTTCCGCTCGGTACCTCCTGCGCTCCTCCTCCTCATAGCACCTCACACCGTACTCACCGCACACACGCCACCGCACACGACACACGCACATGTACCATCGCACACGCACAGGAAAGTGATCTCGACGCCACCACCGATCACGCCATCGACGCGTCTGGCATCGCTGCGACACTCGGCCTACCAGCCGTCCGGCCGCCGCACGTCGTCCTACGACGCGCTGCTGGTCAGCCCGCGCCGCAGCAGTCTGGGCAGCGCGGTCACTGTCAGCTCCGCCTACGCAGCCGTAGCGCCGCCACCTGCCACCTCTCGCTCCGCGTCGTCGTCGCCCACCCACTCGCCCAGCGTGTCGTCGCGACGCCGCGCCGCGTCGCAGTACCAGCCCGCCGCCAGCACCTCGGCACCGTCGCCCCTCGCACAGTCCATCCGGGCCATGTAATGTACCACAAAATGTAATTCTAAAATTATAAATAGAAAAACATAAACCACCAGTTCCTCGCCTTTCTCTCTCGTGTTCAACACCCGCTACTGGGTGGGGATGCGGAAGGTCTGCTCGATCTCCTCCGGCGTCTTGCCTGCAGATGGCCGCGCAGGTGCAAGGTGAGTGCGTGTGCGGTGGTGCGTGTGCGGTGTCTTGGTGTACCAATGATCATGCTGGCCACGGTCTTGCAGCCCAAGTCGAGCAGGCTCTTGATGTCGAGGAAGTTGGCGGCCTGGCGTTGCACAACATGAGGGTTATGTTTTTATGTCAGCCTCGAAAGAGAAGAGAAATGAGAGCCTAAGAAGATGAGATGGGATCATGGCGTGAGGCTTCAACAACGTACGAGAATGATATCAAAGAGGAGACCCATCTCGACCTGCATGAACTGCTTGTCCCACGCCGAAATGTTGTGTACCGAGTGCTCCTGCTTTGCCGCGTCGGACGCGGGCACCGGCTCGTCCTTCTCATGGTGCTTGCAGTACTCGATCACCTTCTCCAACGCCTGCGCACCCACATACATAATTGGCAGCATTAAAAATATACACAACAATGATAAAAGACTTAAGAATAAAATAATAATATGATAACAATATAATGTGAGTGTAAGACCGACCTTGGCGTTGACGTTGGGCAAAGGGATGGCCTCGTCTGACTGGCTACGTGAGATGTCTGATTTATCCAGAGTTAATTTGCCCCATCTTTGCAGTTGGAAAAGAATAAGCATGACGCACCGTGAAGCATGTGGTCGAGGGTGACAGACATGGACGCCACGCTTCGGGGCACGGAGAAGTCCACCCCATCACTTGACTGCAGCTGCACCATATCCGTGGCCGACATCGTGTTCTTGCTCTTGCTGCCCAAGCTCAGCACGCGTGCCCCTCTCTGTGCCTTGAAATTTTTAGAGTAGAATAGAAATTTAATTGGGAAGAGCCAGGGTGGGGCACTGGACCACTTTTTAATAGTAACGTAGCAGGCAGACACCAGCGGGACTCGTCTCGGATCCGATCGACTGCTGGTAAATCGGTACGCTCAGGGTCTATTGTTTATTTATTTACTGTTTTTTTGCACAAACATCTTCGTTTACGCGACCGTTAGATTATATCCACACATATTGAATCGAATCCTCTCGCCCCCCACGAAGCTTCGTGCCGAGCGAGTCCACCAGCCGACGACGTGCGAATGAAGCGTCGCCGACATGTCCATCTCTCGCTGCCCCGGCAACGAGATGGGCAGACCCGCCTGGTCGACCTGTCCTTCTCACGTTCACCATCGTCGGCATCGTCGCCTTCGTGGTCACCGAGGGCCTCGTCTGCCGGCAGCACCACAGCCTCGTCGTCATCGCCCTCTGCGTCGCCCCACTGGGCGACCCGGCAGCAGAGGTGCGCCTTTCGACTATGCCCCGACCTCGACACCGTCCCCGAAACCACAGAGTACCCACCCGCCCATCTCTCCGTATCGCATCTCGTGCTGCGTCGTGTCGTGTGTCGTGTGTCGTGTGTCGTGTGTCGTGTGTGTGTGCGTGTGGCGTGTGTCGTGTGCGTGATGATCATTGGTTGGTTGGTTGGTTGTGTGCAGGATGTGCTCAAAGTGTCTGGACGTGGGGAGGAACGTGCCGTACTGCTCGCCCACATGCCAGAAGAACGACTGGACGCACCACATGCGCGTGTGCGGCCAGGAACCCGCCTCGCCCACCTCCGCCCGGCGACGGGCCTCGCCGCCGCCGCCGCCACAACAGCAGCCCAGCATCGCACTGAAGTTCTTGAAGACGAGTCTCAAATTAGCCAACGGAGCGTTGGCGGAGAGCGGCCAGCCGCCGGCTAAGAAACAGCGACGAGGCGACGAAGACGATGACGACGGCAATGTCGATGCCGCGGAGTCAGCGGCTGAGCAGCAGCAGCAGAACAGGAGACGGTGGTCGGCGCCGGTCGGCAGCCCGCCGGTGGTGCCGGTCAAACGTGCGGCCGGCGGGATGGCAGAGAGGACGGCGTGCGACGACGTCGCAGGCGCAGGCGCAGGCGTAGAACTTAACGAGCGGTGGGCGAGGCGCCCGAGGCGTATCATCATCGACGACGACGACGAGGACCAGGAAGAGAAGAGGAAGGAGGAGGAGGAAACGGTCAAGACTTCGAGACCGAACGCAGTTGGCATCGTCTACGACGATGACGAAGAAGAAGAATGGGTAGTGACCGCCGGCGGTGCAGGAACGGAAGACGCGCGAGCAAAGGGGAAGGAGAAGCGCGAGAAGCCTCGGCCCAAAGTGGTGAAGAGAAAGAGGAGGTGGTTGAAAAGGGAGAGGAAAAAGATGGAAAGGAGAAAGCAGCGGGAGATGGAGGCGGAGAAGCGGGAGAAAGAGAAGAAGGAAGAGCTCGCTGATCTCGGCAGTCAAGGCGACGCCGCCGTCTCGCCAGCTCCGACACCTACGACGGCGACCACCACGACCACCGCGCCGACGAAGAACAAGCTGAGGCAGCTGCTGCTCGTTGACGCGCTGGCGGCTCCGGCGAAAGCTACTGCTGCGGCGGCCGCGGCTGAAGCCACGACCAGCACGACCAGCATGAGCGCCGGCTCCGCCACGAGCCTGCCAGAGAACTGGCCGACGTGCGTCAAGTACATCACCAAGAACCTGGAGGTGTTCCAGACCGAGAACGAAAACGAAAACGACAAACACGAAGACAAAGACGAAAACGAAAACGAAAACGAAGTCGACAGCCAGGGCCGAGAGAAGCGGGTGAAGGCAGCGGAGTGGGGCGATGACATCGGCGGCAAGGTCACGCGGGAGAACGTGCGGATCGTCAAACTGTCCAGCAGCCACCCGGCCTACCGGGCCGACATCAAGCACAATCACAACGAGGGACAGTCATTCGGGGTGGTGGCCCGACGGTGGCTGCGGAAGCAAGCCACCGTCGGCGAGTACGTCGGCGTGCTCATGGATTCGAAAGGTACCCTTTTCTTCTTCTTGTTCTTCTTCTTCCTTCTTCTTCCTTCTTCTTTCTTCTTTCTTCTTCTTTCTTCTTACGATGGCTGATCAGTGTGTGTCATGTGTGTCGTGCGTCGTGTACGTCGCGCAAGATGGTAAGAGTCTGTACCGATTCATTGTGACCAAATCATGCGACATCGACGCAGCGAAGGCCGGCAACGAGCTCCGATTTTGAACGACTACCGTGACACGGGCAAAGGTGCGTAGTTGTACCATTCACCCACCCACCCCACCCACCCAACCCGCCTCGAGGTGGGGTTCTCTCTGACTTGGGGCGGCGGGCATCTGTGTCGTGACCTCGGCGTGTGGTCACTCGTTCCTCTAGAACCCAACGTCGTGTTCATCGGACACCCTCCCCGCATTCTGGTCCAAGCCACTCGCGATATTGCTCCCGGTAAGTGTTGTGCGTCGTGTCGCTGGTCGTGTCGCTGGTCGTGTCGCTGGTCGTGTCGCTGGTCGTGTCGCTGGTCGTGCCTCACGCCTTGTATCAGGCGAGGAGCTGCTCGTGGACTACGGTGAGGAGACGTACTGGACCTTGGCCCACAACCAAGCTCACGACGACGAAGACGACGACGATGCCGACGAAGTGCGTCCGCATCCTTCTCATTATTCAGTTTTATTTGTTTTAAAAATCTCCCCAAATAATAATAATAATAACAATAATAACAAAAATAATAATATTATTATAATGTGGATATGCGCAGTACTGGGAGGAGTCGGCTGTCTCGAAGTCGTCGCGCCGGCCCTCGACCAACAAGCGCGCGTCCCGTAGACAGCCCGCGCGGGTGTCCCTGGCGGATTTGGTAGCGAGGCGCCTGATTTCGCCCGAACACGACGTGCTCTACTGCAGTGCGTGCAAGGTGACTGCGCACTTCAGCGCTCGTGGCCTGTACGCCCATATCCGCCCTGCTCGCTTTCCCCTATCCCCGAGGATGCTGCTGACTCTTGTTGTGTCGTACGTGTGTCGTGCGTGTGTCGTGCGTGTGTCGTGCGTGTGTCGTGCGTGTGTCGTGCGTGTGTCGTGCGTGTGTGTCGTGTGTCGTGTGTGTGTCGTATTGTGGTGAGCAGTATCTACAAGGAATCGGGAGGAGACACCTGGCTATCGATCGACAGCTGGTACTGGAGCCACAACGTCAGGTGTCCCAAGGGACAGAAGGCCGAAGACGAGGCTCGGATCTCCAAGCTGGTCTACGTGCGACCGCTCAAGAAGAAGAACGCGGTCGGCCGATCGCTGTGGGACCTCGTGGCCAACGCCGCCGACCCGGACAAAGAAAAGCACGCCTACGAGAGCGAAAGCGAAGAAAGCGAATGCAAAAATGAAGAAAGTGAAAGCGAAGAGAGCGAAGACGACGATGGCGACGCGGAAGAAGAGGAGCGGGGAATGCAGGCCAGGGCGCAGCCGACGCCGCCGAACACTCGACGGGTGGCAGCCGCAGCCAAACTGACCCCCGCGCCCGCGGCCCCACCCATGAAAAAGGCCACCGCCGCGGCGAGACCGGAAGCCAAGGCTGGAGTGGAGCCCAGGCTGGCCCAGCTGGCGCGGGAGGCCAAGGAAAAGGAAGAGCGCGAAAGAAGGGAAAAGCAGGCGCGGAGGGAGGAGAGCGAGCGACTGGCCAGAGAGCAACAAGCAGCGGAGGAGAAGGAGAAGGAGCTCGCAGCAGAAAGGGAAAAGGAGGAGCGGAAGAAGAAGCGGGAGGAGCGCAGGAGGCAGCGCGAGGTGTGGCGCAAGCTACGGGAGGAGATCCGGTCGCTCCCGGGGGAGGTCAAGGCCAGGCGGGTGCGTTTGGGCGACCAAAACGCCAGGCTCGGCGATGAAGAGTATCACCTCTCCTCCATCATGCAGGCCTACGACGAAGAGGAGCAGTCTCCCAGTTCCCCCTGACCGAAATGAAATGAAATGAAACGAAATAAAATAAAATAAATACAAGTGCCAACAAAATTCTGTGGCGGCTGTGGGCGAAATAGGAAGTAAACGCAGAGGTCAGGCCATGGGGTCGATGGCGCGCGCGGCGAGAGCGGCGAAGGTGGCCTGGATCTGGGCGTGCAGCTGCGGGTGCGCGACCGCCACCCCGCCCACCGCCGCCGAACGTCCTGCGATCGTCGATACCTCTTGGTTTTTTTTTGCCCGCCACACCCATTAGACCATTGCCAATGACGGATCGCGTGTCATGCGTGTGTGTCGTGTGCGAACCTTGGAGAAGGCTGACGGTGTCTTCGGCGAGTTGCGCCGGGAAGGTGGTGGCGATCTTGGCCAGGGAAGGCAGCGTCTCCATGAGGAAGGTGCGCGGGTCATCGCTGGCCACCGTCGTCGAGTGAATCTTCTGCAGCACCATCCGCGCCAGGTCGATACTACACGCCCCCCCAAACAAACAAACCTGTTAGTTATCATTCACCGCACACACCGCCACGCACCACACACGCACCATTTGGGGAGAGTGTATTTTTCGATGAGGAAGCCGGCGAGCTTGATGGCGAAGACCAGACGCTCGGGCTGGGGTTGGTTGAGCAGCTCGGGCAGGAACTCGAGGGCCACGTGGATGGAGGGAATGCCGTAGACGGTGACGGGGAGGAGCTCGTCGGGGTAGCCCTGCAGGTGAACCAGCTTCATCAACTGCGGCGTCTCGCAGAACATCTGATGGATGAACGTGCAGCTCTGGATCCGCACTTCCTCCATCGGACCTGTTTGTTGACATGTGCATTGTGCAACAGTCAGTCTAGCACCACCGTGCACACACACGACCACACACGACCACACACGACCACACACACAACACACACACACACACACACAACACACGACCACACACGGCCGCGGGCAGAGCTCAAGCGCACCTTTTATGGGCGAATTGTCTCGGTCGATGCAGACTTCGAGGAGGAGTTGGACGACGGCGGTGTCCTGGGCGTGGAGGAGAGTCACCAGCTCCTCGTGTCGCGCTCCCTTGTCAGCGTTGCCCTGAACAAAAAAAACAAAAAAACAAAACAAAAAACAAAAAAACGATCGATGAGCACAGTCAGCCCTCTCTAGAAGCACACCACACACACACACACACACACACACACACACACACACACACACAACGAAAACATACCGTGACAGGCTCGACCGAGAGCAACGTGTTGATGTACTTGTGCGATTCGGTCAGGTAGGTATCCAAAATCTGCGTGTGCGGTGTGTGCGGTTAATCCTTAATCCTCATCAGGGAGATGGTGATGGCGGTCCGCATGGCCAACGTACCTGAAGAAGCATTTTGAAGAGGGGCGGAATGCGGAAGAGTCGCGGGTCGCATCGGAAGACCAGGAGCGGGTCCATGACAACGTCCATGTGGCTGTAGTGGCTCACACCGCGCTGCTCGCTCTTGTGCGCCGAGGCCGAGGGAAAGTCCATCGCGGTCGTCATCGCAGACGGCGGCGAGATGGCGTTGATGCTCTTCAGCGCCGACTCGAAGGGCGTCAGCGTGTGTAACAATTCCCACAGCTCGACAAACCGCACTCTGTGACACCACACACACGACACACGGCACATACGACACACGGCACATACGACACACGACGCACGACACACGACACACGGTCGGTCAAACCCTAGAGCCTCAGAGTCCGTGTGGTTATGAGAGCTTCTTACCTGACGCGATGCTGGACGTCGTCCTCGAGGAGGCGCGGGAGCAGGGTGAAGATGAGAAGGTCGGTGTAGGCCTGCAGCGCCGAGGCCGAGAGCCGGTTCAGCTGCGTGAGCACTGCCGCAACGCCACACGCGAACCGGTTAGCAACTGAGCGGTACAGGAAAAAAAGGGGAGTACTGGGTATTCAGTACTGAATAGGGTCTGGATGGGAGCGGTGAGGACGCTCTCAAAGGCCGACTTGACGACCGCGTGCTCGGGGGCCACGGGCTTCTCCTGGGCCAGCGGCGACGAGGACTCGTCGTCCGTTGGTCGCATGTTGGCGTCGACAAAGTTGAAGTGCGGAATGGTGAGGAATTCCTTGATCGTACTGCGCAGTAGACGCCACACACAGCGTTAGGCAAGGACTGTGCGTGTGCGTGTGCGTGTGCGTGTGCGGAATGTATCGATAGTTTGTGGTGAAGAGGTACCTGCTCTTCTGTTCCTCCTCGTTGAGCATGTTGACGACGGTGAGAAGCCCCGGGAACTGCGAGATAACGAGGTTGAGCAGCGGCGGGTAGATGTTGCTGTAGGTGTCGGCTGACCGCTCGCGAGCGTGACTGAGCAGCGCCTTGACCGGCAGCGACTCCATCAACTCGCCGGAATAGGCTGGCGACCGACATCACACCGCACACCACTCCCTCATAAGCACCAAACCACACACAAACACGCACGCACGCACGCACGCACGCACACACACACACACACACACGCACGCCCGCACACACCTCGCACGGTGTTGCCCTTGCCCGCCTTGCCGGGCGAGAACACGGCCCGCTGGCCGCTGCGGCTCCGGTCGTCGATGCTCTGCCGCAGGACCTCTTCGTTGTAGTAGAGCGCAAAGTAGAGGGCCAGCACCTGCGAGGCCCTTTCCTGGGACGTCAGCTCGTCGACGGGCGTGCCCAGCTGGGCAGCAGCCGCCGGCGATGAGGCCTCCTTCTCTTTTCGCTTTCGCTTGGTCGCCGCCGCCGACGCGCTAAACACGGCGACGATCTGCTCTTCGAGTGGTCGCTTCATGCAGAACGACGTTGTGGGCGCCAGAATGCTGTGTTCGTGTCATGTCGTGTCGTGTCGTGAGCGTGTGGGCCGCAAGTGTCGCCATGATACGCCGAATGGGGTACCTCTTGACCCACTCTTCTATAAGAGCGGGGAGTAGGTAGTGGATAGGCTCGTCGGCTTGCGTGATCTGGCTCCACACCCACTCGCCCACGTCGACGCGGTGCTTGCTGAAGATCTTGTTCTTCAGCAGGTGGTAGACGCACATCACCGCGAATGACTTCGTGTCCTTGTCCGACAGCTGTCGTGTGTGTGTGTGTGTGTGTGAACGTCAGACATTTGAAGGCCGTAGCACAGCCAACAAGCGGTGGGAAAGGAACGTACCTTGGGCCGAACCGCGAGGGCCACAGCCTCCTTGGCCACAACTTCCTCGGTAAATAGGTCTTCAGTGAACACCGCTGCGATCTGTGGTGGGCGAGTACGTCAATCTCAACTCCCGCACCACACACACACACACACACACAGTCCTGGGCTAGCCTACCTGATTCAGACTCTCGCTGTGGATGGCGACGGTGAGTCCGAGCGTCTCGCGGATCAATTCGATGGCCGAGGATATTGATTGGTGTGGAAGTGGATGGCAAGCAGCGAGAGCATCTCCAAGCAGTGACCGCTCTTGAGCAGCGACGACAAGCAGACCACCACCGCTTCCTGATTAAAAAGAAAGAAAGAAAGAAAGAAAAATAAGTACGTCGGCGTCTTCGTATCAACGTAAAGAGAAGAGGTGACCACGCACTTTAGAGCAATGGCGAAGCAGTCCCTCGCAGGCAAGCAACCAGCACAGTCCAAGCTTGGCGATTCTAGTTGCACAGAACACAGGGCCTGTTAGCTGCTAGCAATGATGATGACGCTATGATCGTTGATGAAGCGTGCAGCGGCGAGGGCGTCAAGGCGTACCGCTCGTCCTTGACCTTGGTGAGGAGCGACAGAATGGCGTTCATCTCCTCGCCCTCGAGTTTGAGCTTGAGAAGGCCCACGAGGCCGCAGTAGAGCTTGATCAGGGCCGTGAGCCTGATGCGCTGTTGTGCGGGCAGCGTGGACCTGCCGCTGATGCTGCCGTCAAACTCGACCACCATCGTCAGCAGCCTCGCGCGCAACAAGATGACCGAGCTTCCTGGCACTGCGATGCACATATAGGAATAGATTGAAGTTAGTACATGGGCGCGAAGGGGAAACAAAGCGAATGATAAGAGTTGGATACCGGATTGTTGTTCGCTGAAATAGGAATCGATCCACTTGTGGTCGTGCAGGAGCCCGCTCAAGAAGGCAACCTAGTGTTACGTTGTGGCCGGCGCATGAACTGGTTGTGAGCCACACGTAATGGAATGCAATCGACTGCGCCGGGGGGGGGTTGTCATACCTCGTCCTTGATGTGGGTGATGGTGAGCTTCAGGGCCAAGCCAGGCAATTGATGTTGTTGCATGACCCACGTCCGCACAAACAATGCGATCGTGGCCGACAGCGAACACAGATCCAGCAGCACCTCGCTGAGCGCAGGGAAAATGTGGGTCAGCGATAACATACTATTGTTGAGAAGAAGAAGAAGAAGTGTACGTGACTAGATGTGGGGCAGCTGCTGCGCATTTGATCAACGTGAGCAGGATCTCATCTCGAAGCGCCGGCATGTTGAAAAAGAGGATGCGGAGCAGTCGGCCTCCGAGATCGACGCACAGAAGAGCTTCGATCACGGCCTGTGGGCACACATGTGAAAAAAAGTGTTGCGTGCGATGAGTCAGGCCATCACTTGGAGTGTGGATCGTGCGCGAATCGTGCGCGACAACAGGTGCTGGTACCTCCAAGCTCAACGGTGCCCGCCGCAAGCGCAGCATGGCGATGGGCAGGATGAAGCCCAGCTCTTCGAGGTAGAGTTCGTCGCCGAAGATCTCCGAGTGGTAGGCGGGAAAGCTCCTGGTGGCGCCTCTGGACTTGGACGCGTTCGCAAGCCGCACGTGGTCCATCACGTTGTGGAGCTCGCTCAAGAAGAGCCTGGCGGTTCACCCAAGCAAGAACTCGATCAGCAACGTCGAGGCATTGCCACGCCTCTCACAACAACAAGACCACACACAGGGCGCACGGCCATTGGGGGTGATGAGGAGGACGCGTCACCTCATCTTGACTTCTTCGCTGCCGGTCTCAAACTCTGAGACGAGTCCCTCGCCGTATTGGAAGACGAGGCTGCCCTCCGCAGGGTTCTGATGATGGAGGCCATCAGGCGAGAGCTTTGCTTTTGGCGGCAGCGAGAGCAAGAAGGAATGGCGATCATGGTGTTGGGCCTAGGCGCACCGTCGAGCCGGTCTTCCTCTTGCGCTGTAGTTCGGCCTCCAGCGGGTCCTCCACTGCGTCGATATCCAGTGCCAAGTACGCTAGCACGCTGTTCAACTGGGGCACCCCACACCATCAAGATTACATTAAATGAAAATGTAATCTATCAATCAAAATGAGTAGTAGATGATAGCGTGTGGTACCTGCGGCAGAGCGTGGAGTTTCTGGAAGAGAATGGAGTGGGCAGGATTGGCGAGTGCCACTCGCACAAGGTAGGGCAGGCAGGTCACAACCTCTTCCACCATCTGTTGCTGCTGTTGCGCATTCGCAGAGCTCTTCTCGTCCAGTATCGATTCGAATGCACCTGCGGCCACCTTCTCGTAGAGCGTGCCTGCCGAAGGGAATCGAGCAGGATCGAAGATATCATCCAACGCGCCCGATTCGTCGCTCACCATGGGCGATCGCAGCCCCACACCCCATTCCTCCGATTTTTTCTCGCCGTTGCCAGCCGGGCCTGAAGACGAGGCCACGGGCGCGGTGCCCCACTCCTCCTCCGTCTCCATCATGCCCTCATCACCTTCCATCTCCATCTCCATTCTTCAATGCCGACTGATTTTATTTTTCTCTTTATTGTAAAAAGAAGAAACGATGATGACGTCACCACCCAGGCCAATGCGGCCAGGGCGCCGGCGGCCAAAAGCCTTCGAAGAGCCAGAACTCCCGGTTGTGGTAGGCCTCGTCGAGCCTAACTTCATCCGCCAACTCCGTAGGCTCGCGCTCGGTGTCCTCGGGGCAGACAGGCCGGAGGAAGAGGCAGTAGTGGATGGGGTTGATCCACTCGGTGTGTCCAGCCATTCGTAGGGTCTTGGTCTTGACCTCATCCGCTGTCGACAGGCGTGGGTATTGTGCCAGGTACTTGATGCCGTGATACCACACGACTCTGTGCGACATGACCAACGATGCCACATGGTAAACTAGTGTGTGAAGTTGATGAAATCAAGATCGCAAGGACGCGTACAGGACAATGCGTCGTTCGACAGGCGGCAATGGCGGCGGCGGTGCTGCGGCCTTGCAGGGGAGGGGGAGGTCTGTCAAACCTTCGAGGTCATGACGAAGACAACCCTCGAGCTCCATAAGCGCTTCCTGTTTCTTGCGTCTGTACACACATTCCCACACATCGTGCCGCACGCACGCACGCATGCACGCGAAGAAGAATGAGAACGAAGGAAGGTAAATTAAAGCAAAAGTGTATCTATTCAAATGGCAAGAGAAGAGGGAGGTGTGCGTACAGATCTTCATCACTGGTAGCCCGGATGAACTGGTTCCGGAGATCTTCCACACTTGGCCTCCTGCTTGTTGCATAGAGCTCTCGCAGCTTGTCGACGTCGACGTCGTCTTCCTCGTCTTCCTCCTCCTCCTCCTCTTCCTCCTCGTCCTCCTCAGCAGCTCGCAGTCGCCATTCTTGGTTGCGCCCGGCCTGGTGATGGCACAGCTGCCCGATCCTGCGCAGGTTCTGGCGGATTGTTGCCTTGGAGTTTTGCCTTCCCCTCTTCTCGGGGAAATTGGCTTGGATGTGGGCATCAAGTTGAGCCACCGAGGCCTGGCCCAGCTCGGCCAACGACAGCCGGATGACCTCGCGCCAGGTGAGTGGCGGTGTTGCTCCACGTGCTGCCGCCAACGTCTTGCCTGCCAGCACGGGCCTGGTGGAGGCTGTTGCTGGGGTCTTGCCGGCAGGTACGGCACGGTCAGTCCGAGGCGACTGGGCTTGGCTTGGCTCTGGTGCGGTTGCTTCCATTAGACGGTCCTCGAAGTGGTCGTCTGCCACAAAAAGGACAAAAACAAGACATTAAAGCCACTGGCAGTGAGGAGCTGAATGGCGAGAGCTGGCAGACCAAGATTGTACCTTGGAAAATGACGCTGGGCTGGGCAACTGTAGCACAGGGCGATGCAGGCCCACTTTGACTCTCTGTAACAGTTCACAGTTTCATGATATTAGTGAGGACTCACTACATTCCAGGAATGTGCGCGATGACATGCACATAACATACCGGGAGTGTGATCTGCTGAAGACATTGCCTGAGTCAGCATGCTGGATCGTTTCGCCACTGTCACCTTGCGCTTGCCACACACCTCAGCTTCTTCCTCCTCACTGTCTTCATCGTCCTCTATTTCCTCTTCCTCTTCTTCCTTCACCTCGTGCACTTCGACTCGTTGCTTCTGCTTCTGCTTGATTCGCCACTGGAGGATGAAGGTGACCGGGCACTCGAGCTCGCTGGTCCATGTTGGCCTCCACCTGACCTTGTAGCAGCGGCCTACGCCACTGGGCTCCACCTCTAGGATGCGCACCACCTCCTCGTTGATCGTGCCCAGGCCATCCACCTTGCCGCCACCAGTCTTGCCCAGCGCCTTCTCTGGTATGGCCTTGGTCTTCTTTACGTGTCCTTTTGGCCTGTGGAAGATGTTGCTCTTGCACTCCCAGCTCTCAGCCCAGTCGAGTAGGTATTCGCGCCCTCCTTCCTCACTCTCACGCTCGCTGATGATCGCGTTGACCGTGAACTGTTTTGTTTGCTTCTGCTCTGGCTGCTGCTGCCGCTGGTGGGTGGTGGTGGGTGGTGGTGAGAACTGGGTGAGAGGGTGAAAAGAAAGAGGGACAATGCACACATACCAGTAGATTGTGTGCATCTTGGGTGTCCTCTGCACCAAGAGCTGTTGGATCAGGAAGAGTGTCGAGTTCGGTCGGCTCCACCTTGACTTGGTTGAGTGTCTCATCATCGCCTTCACCCTGCTCCTCCCAGACGCGAATTGCGTCTGTGATGCGTGCCTCCTCTTCCGGCAGCAGGAGGAAGGAGAAGCCCTGGCCGGCGTTGTCGCCCAGGAGGAGCTCGATCGACTTGCAGATGATGCTCTCGAGTGAAATGCAGCCAAACACCTTCTCGTCGTTCTCTTCGACGAAGACCATGTGTCCCCTCTGGCGCTGGCCAGAGAAGCGAAGGAAGAAGGTCTGGATATCGCATGACTCAGGGTCGTAACCTTCCCTCACCTGGTTGCAGCCATGCACACTATGAATAAATGCACACTTCTTGAGGAAGATGACGCACGTACATTGTCACGGCAGATGGTCAGCCAGAAGAGGGAGTCGTTTTCGCCTGGCCACACCGCCACTACGTCCCCCACCTCGAGCACATGCTGTTGGGCCATGGCGACTTCTTCCAGATAAGTAGAAATAATAAACCTTCATCTGTCCTGTTTGCACGTCTTGTATCACATGTCATCACTTGTCGCTGGCTGGTGTTCAGACGCCAGAGAACCAACACTTGCTGCGCACACACGACCACCCCACGGCCTCTTTCCGTTCTTTCCATCACTTGTCGCGGGTGTCCTATTCCTCGGGAGGTGCAGTTGCCAGTTGGTCACCATTTTTTTTGGTTTGAAGTCGCCGTACTGCTTGGTGGGAAACGGGCCAAACTGCCACAGCACGGGCTTCTTCAACGAGCAGGCGTCATCACGAAACTTCTTCGTTAGGCTTCAAAAATGAAAATAATAAAAAATAAAACCCGGGCATTTTTGCATTTATTAACAAGAGAACAGAGCTGAGCAAATAATGGAAAGGGCGGGAGGGGGGATGAAACGGCAGGGGAGCGTGGTGGGCGGCATACCGGCCAGCCGAGGGGACCTTGAAGAGAAGGACCAAATCATCACCAACGCCATCCAGGTGCCCGCCCCAAGATCGTCTTGTTTGTCAATTCATACATTTGCTTGCTCCTCTGCTTTCGCTCGTACCATTCGGGACACCCATGCTCCCCCTTGGTGCCGGCGTTGATCGGTCTTGTCGAGGAAGGAAATGGGAAGAGAGATTTCCTCACGCTGGTGCCGGTGTGGCGGCGCGTGAACACTGCTAGGTGCTAGAGAAGAAGGCACGGGGCCGGGAGTGTCTCGATGCGCTGCGACAGCTGTATCAAGTGCTGCTCGTCTACCCGCGCAAGTACCCTTCGCCCCACTTCCGGCAGCTGGCCACCACCATGTACGCTTTTCCCCTCTCGAGTACTTTGCGCGCACGCAGTCGCACTCACGCAGGCTGCGGCGCGAACCACCCCAGCTGTACCACGTTCACAGAAGCCAAGCTGCCGAACCGACTACGGGCTCTGTGCTCCAGCATCGTCCAGCAGTGCTTT